TTCCACTAGTCTTACTGTTAGCAATTCCAAAGGCCATTTGACTTCATTCTCCAGGATGTCTGGCTCTAGATCAGTAACCACATCATCATGATTATTGGTGATGTTAAGATCTTTCTTATATAGGAAAATTGGTGATGTTAAGATCTTTCTTATATAGGAAAATTTAATATTCAAATAAAAACCCATACAATGTTACAGCAATGAGCACTTCTTCCAAATGGAGGAAAAGGAATGAAAAATGTTCTCAGAATACACAATTAAAAAAAAGATTAAAAAGTGACAGAAAATCTTTTGAAACAAGCAGACCTCACTTCAGAAATAATACTAAAAGTTGGCAATGAGTATAAGCCACTAGATTTGTCAAATGTAATCAAAAGTGGCTTACCTCCAGAAAGAGCCTATGAAACTGCTAAGATCCATGAATGTAATCAAAAGGCCTTCCATATATAAGATCCCCATGAATCCAAACAACTATATGTCAAAAAAGAAGCATCAAACAAATGCTGAGTCATGCAAATCTGTTTATGGACATGGAAGGATTTTTGCTAGTGATTTCAGATGAGGTCTACAAAAATGTTTTCCTTAAGACTAGATTTAGGAATCAATTTGGATTTGGTAATAAAGCAGTAAAAACTGTGCAACCTATCACTGTAGGTTACAAATACTTAGTATCCTTTAAATAATAATAAAGACATGATGCAACTGAAATTACACACCAGAAGCTTAGAAATACAAACCCTAAATATCCTTCAAAATTCAACAAATTCTAACAGAAGTGGAATATCATTACAGACAGAACTGTTGCCTGCCTACAACTTCTCAGCTCTAATGTTGATATATAAAAAAATTAAGAAGAATCATTTTAATATATGTTAGCATACTAAATACTCATAACCTCCAAAATATTTGGAATGAAAAATTTTCAAAACACAAAGACCTAGCAGAAGAAATCAAAATTATATGGGGGGAAAAATAGAAATCTATAATGCCCCCATCATCTTGTCTGCTACTGAAGTTGTCCCAAAATATTTTCAGTGAGTCTTTAATTCAACTACAAAAGACAATGCTTTTATTTGTTCTACACAATAGTCTGCAAAGCATTGGATAACAAAGGATAGCAGAAATGGTGACTTGTCCATTTGCATCCGAACCTCAACAAAAAAGATGAGAACAAAATGAAATAAAATACCTTTGGATAGTTATTATACCTTTAAGAAGAAGGCAGAAAATCTGGGAGACTGACAATTTAACTGCAGTGGCAGAAGGAATCTATGTGAGGTATTTAGAGAAGACTGACAAAATTTCATGTCTTGAGAAGATTGACAGTTAATCAAGCCTTTAGAGAAAGTCTGTTAGAGACTTGAAAGTTAACTGTCCTTAATTAAGACATTTGGTGGAGAATTACTAGGCAGCACTAAATGAGTTTAACTGTCTTTCATTCCTGATGAGAATTAAATTGAGTTAAATGTTATTTTGTGAGAAAAGCAGTTAACTAGAATTTCTAAGGAGAATTAAGTAAAATTCTACTCCAAGAGAGACTGAGTTAACTACAATCTAAATGGTATTTATTTTTTGGACTATGGTTCCAGTGTTTTGGAGGAGTTAGCAGTTGATGATGGGCTAAAGGAATACTAGTTAATAGGTGAGGTCAGTGGTTATCCCCATTGCAGCCATGTATAGTTTAAACATTCTTCTATATTTTTGAAAAATTAAATATTAGTCCCAAAAACAAAAACTGGTCTCCATGCTCAGGATCTTAAAGAACATAATCAAAACTAGACAGTGGACCTAGTCAGAAATGCATTATCATCTGCCATAGTCTTTTCAGTCAATTCTCTTCTCTCATAAGCAAGTACTACAAACTACTGTGCAAACAATCTTGAAACTCAAACATCAATATGCTGACCAAAAACCATATTCATACTTGTCAAGAGTCTATTTTTCAAATCAATCACATTTTTATAGGTCACCTGCCTTCACTATTATGGCTTATATTGCGATTAGAATCTCTCAATAAAACAAAATTTTCCAGGAAAACAGCAGACTACTATGGTCTAATAATCAGAACAATGAGCTGCACAGATCCCTGGCTGAACCTGTTACAAATTTAATCCTTTTACCTTAATATACCTACCATATAACATGGTGAGATTGACAGCACAGGATTAGTGGAAAGATTTTAAAATATATGCAAGACTTCTGAAGTTTGATAATACATATCATTCAGGTATACAAGCCACAGTATCATTCTTTTCTCTCCAAGGTAGGTTTCCATTTGCTTACTGATATGAAAGGATACTGCAAATAAGGAAGTTCCATCAATTTCTGCTTATAAAAAAGTAAGCCAGTACAGGCACTTTTAACCAATTATGGACTATTTCAGAAGATGTTAACATTTATCATGAGCTTTGGTTCATTATTGATTAAGTGTCTACAGAAGATCTTGAATCTTTCACAGATATAAAAATGATATGGACAGTAAAATAAGAAGCACAGAATGAAAAACTGGATTTGGAGTGAAGGTCACTCACTGTAGGTTATTTATAAAGATCTCTGATTCTCTCCTATGCCCTTAAACATTACTCCATGACTTTTTAGTGAAATTTTTTAATTAAAGCACAGACTGATAATCTATTTTCTCCCCTTTCATTCAATTCCAATTTCAAAAAAAAAAAATTGAGAAACTAAATGAGTTCCATCATAGCAACAAGTATCATGAATTCACCTACATTCCACTGTAGGTCCCAAAATTTTTTCTGTAAATTTCTTCATTATGTGCCTTGAGGACATCTATCAATATCCATTTTTTAAAAAAACAGTATATACCATGAACAAGTTATTTTACCTCACTGAACCTCAGTTTTCCTCATTCATAAAATAAAGTAATTATAGTAAAGTATCTTCTGGTTCTAAATTTCTGTGTTTCTAGGATATTTATTCAGTTCGTCAATTTTTTTTTACTTTTAAGGAAACTAAGTTTAAAACACTTAAAAGCTTTTGCATAAATGAACTCTTGCTCATTGAAGTTTGAAAGATTAATCTGAAGTGCCAAAAGCATCTTAGAAGAAGTATTTTACTTTATACTTTAAAACAACAATATAACAAAAAGCCTTTTAAGGCTATTTTATTTTTAAGCTATTTTATTTAACTATTTAAACACAAGTCTTAGAAAACTTTCTTCCTTATATTTGGCATTGTTTATTATTCTTGAAAATAGAAGTCAAGGTTGCACTATAGGTGATTTAGAAGAAAGTGAATCAATGCTATTTAAAATTAAGGCAAAGCAAACAACACAAAAGTGGTATCCTTGCTTTTTTAAAGAAGGCCTACACTGTTGTTCTTCCTACCATTATTTTCAGGTGTTGCAGTTGAATCCTCTCCTTATCCCAAACCAGTATGCACAGTTTGCACAGTGACATAAATCTATAGAGGGCTTGGATCTGTTTTTTCTAAATTACTGCTTTCTTTTCTCCCAACTCTTCCTACTTTATATTTATCTCTGACATTTGCTAAACTACTACACCTTACTCTTTTTTTCCATTACCTCTGCTCCTTAAGTCCCCCTCCCTAGTCCTCATGGTTTCTCCTGCCTTTATCCAATCCTATATGGATACAAGAAAGGAAAAAAGCCAAAAGACACTGTTAAAACATATGCTCCCTGAAACAGGAATCAGAATATTCCTAGCATTGGTTTACTTACTGTCATAGTAATGCTAATGAATAGGAAATCAGAATAGACCATGCTGACAAGTTTTCAAGCAAAACGCTTAAGGTTGTTTTTGTTTGTTTTTGAAAGAAGCTTTAAATAACAACACTGCCAGGGAACTATTGCATTGTCGCACCTTTACCCCAATTTTAAAGAATACAATATCTAGATAACCAAAGAGCTTCGGAAGAAGGCATAGATTTTTTTTCCTTAAGACATAATGAAATGCTCTTTCCAAAACTAAGGACACAATATGTTGCTCCACTTCAAAAACAATAAACTAATTGAAAAAAAATGTATTGAAAAGCCTTTTGGTAAGTTAATTGCAATGGTTTCCTTTTCTAAGTCTTCAGTTTTTGCATTGCTGCAAGAGCAAGTTTTTGCAACAGACACTCAAGATTTTTCATTATCATAAAGAGTTCCAATTACACCCTTTAGAATAGGTTTAAATATACCAACACCAAACCAACATTATTTCTGCAGCCTCCTTCAAGACCGAGGAAAGGCCAAACCCACGAGGGGAAAAAATAAGGATGATAAAATAAACAAAAGGTAGTAACACATCTCTTAAGCCAGACCTCTCATTTCATCATAAGATAAAACTCCACCTTTAGTAAAAAACTGGTGTACGCTTATAAATTATTTACACCAAATATCCGAGGTTATAAGATCAAAATGAGACTGAGATACAATAAAAACCCAGGTAATTTCCATCTTCCTGCATTCTTTTGCTTTGAATTTTAAATCGCTTGATCGTAAAGGTTGGAGAGGTTTTGGTGTGCGGCTAAGAGGAAAAGATCTATCTTCCCGCAAATGTACAACTCATTTGATAGCTAGGCAAAACGCACAAATTTTGCCTCCCTCCTCTTGAAATCGAAATGTGATTCTCAAAGAAGCTTACACACTTTCCCAGCTATAGAGCTGCCCACAAGCCTCAGTGACATAACCAACTTCTCTTTTCAGTAAATCAGCGACCCACTCCAAATCTTACCCCACCCCGACGCTAGTCTCACTTTGCCCCCTCCTACTAAAGGGTAGGTTGCAGAGAAAACTACTGTGCACCTCCATTAGTCTCCTCCCCAAAGAAAAGTGGATTTAAAAGAACAGACACTTGGGTACAACTCTACTCCAACTCCCTCAGCTGACTCCTCAGGCTATCCGGAAATTGGAAGTCTGAAATGTGAGTGGACAGGAGAGCTAGGCGTGAAGGGAAGAGAAGAGAGTCAGCAGTAAGTCACAGAGCCTGCTACTAGTCTTCCCCTGAGAGGCTGCAGCCGTTAGAGGCGGGACTCACTTGAAGGTGAGGACGCAGAGAGGACGGTAGGACTTGTGACTGGTGTTTTCGGCCATGCCCTTGCCCCAGAAATCGTTGGCGAAGATGCCCCAGCTCAGAGGGGCAGCCGCCCAAACGTCTGGGTTGTTCACAATTGCCCACACGTCGTCGTGCACAAACTCGCCCGGCAGAGAGTTTCCATAACAGAGACAGCAGACTGTGGTCAGTAACACCGCAGCCTCCGCCGGCGCCAGGCAGCAGCCCCTTTGGCGCTGGCCCGAGGGAGTCCGATCCCTTTTGCTGCCGCCGCCAAGGCCGCCACTGGCAGAGGTTGTCACCACCATCCTGCTGTTGCCGCTGCTGCCCTGGCTGCTCTGGAGCGACTGGCATTCTCCCCCTCGAGGGCTCTGACAGAAGGCAGCACCAGCAAGCTGAGAAGGAGCATGGTGCGGCAGCAGCTCGACTCACCCACCCACCACCCGGGACCTGCGCTTGGCCGCTACCTCTGCTAGTTGGTCCAGCTGCAAATAAACAGCAGCCCTCCCTCCTCCCTTAGTCGTCCCCGCCTCCTCCTCCCTACTGCGCATGCACCGCCTGCCTGAGCAACCCCCCTCCACCTCTCCAAAATCTGGAGACTGCGTTTTCCCCGAGGCTCACAGCTTTTGCATTCTATGGTGGGCCCTTACTAGATTTAAGCTGCTTTGCAAACTGAAGAAGAGTCGGCAGGCCGGGGAACTGAGAAATCTCCCCACCTGTATGGCCACCCCACCTCCTTGCCCCGTTATCAATGAAAGGCTGTAGTCATCCACCCCACTGACCGTAGTCTTCACCCCAGAGGGGGAAAAAAAAAATAAGGTGCCAGTGATCTTGATGCACTGTTTATGATGAATGTATCTAGATATCAACTTTCTGGTGCTGGTCATTTTTAACACACTATCGCATACCCCGAGGCTGTTCCCCTTCCACCATCACCACCCCAAACGTTGTTGACGTTTGTCTGGAAGTTGCCCAGTATTTTCAGTTCTTCGGCCAACAGCAAGAGAAGACAGAAGTGGAACTATTTCAGGCTCAGAAGAGAGGAATACTAATACCTCCCTCACATACTCCAGTTGCCCTTTCTTCTACCTGTGGTTCTGGAATCTCAGTTGAAGGATTTTCTCTTGTCTAGAGCATTGTTAAGCAGTTCTAGCACCCTAGAGAGGTCTGCAATCGAGTCTTCCGGGAGATGTCGGAAAGACTCATCTTCCAAATGTATGTTTTAGAAAGCCAAAAGAAACTATGGCAAGGACTCCTTGTTCTTTGCCGAACGCCCTTCCCTCCACTTGTTCTAAGTCTCAACGCCTGGTGCTTTTTTCCCTAGGCAATGGGCGAGTCGGGGGAGAAGGGAGGGGAAGAAAAGGAGTATTTTGGCTCGGGCACTGAATTTACTTCTCTTTTTTATTTTGGTTTTGTGCCAAATTCTTGATAGTCCAATAGGCAGGGGAGGGAGGGAGAAGGGAGAGAGAGGAAGAGAGAAAGAAGAATCACTCTATCTACCATCTATCTATTTGAGAGGCAGCCTGGCATAGTAGATAGAGAACCCAGCGTCAAAGGCAGAAAGATCTGGGTTCAAGTGCTACTTCTGATGTATAAAGGCTGTGTGACCCTGGGCAAGTCACTTAACCCCTCCTTGCTCTAAGCAACTCTTCAGGACCATAAATCGTAGAAAAGGTGCCAGCAGTATTGGTTGAGGAAGTCTCGTCATCTGGGTGTTCTTTGTATCAGCGAAATCCCAGATCCATTCTATTATTCCCAGTGCTTTAGACGTTTGAATGATTCCTTCTAAATCAATATGCAAAGATTCTCTAAAGCTCCCTGGCTTTGACTCTTAAGCTCCTCCTTTTATGAAAGCTCCCCCCCCCAAAAAAAGCACAAAAAAACTTTGGTTGATCCATAATTTCATCGATGTGAATACTTCCTCTCAGGGTCAGATTTCAATCCATCAATATTTGAGGCAGTGAGGTGACACACTGGAACTGGAGTCAGGAACATCTAAATTTAAATCCTCCTAAGTTCAAATATCCGTAAATATTTATTAGCTCTGTAACCCTGAGAAAGTCACTTAACCTGTTTCCTCATATATAAAATGGGGAATAATAATAGCACTTAACAGAATTGTGAGGATAAAATGAGATTTTTTAAAATTTATTTAGTATTTTATTTTTCCCTAGTTACATGTAAAAACAATTAACATTCGTTTTTAAAACTTTGAGGTCCAAATTCTCTCCATTCCTCCCTCTCCACTCCCCTCCCCATTGAGAAGGCAAGCAATTTGATATAGATTATACATGTGTAGTCATGCAAAACATATCCATAATAGTCATGTTGTGAAAGAAAACACAGACAAAAAAAGCAAACTCAAGAAAAAATATCAGTTCTTCCTCTGGGGATGGATAGCATTTTTCATCATAAGTCCTTCAGAGTTGTCTTAGATCATTGTATTGCTAAGTCATTCACAGCTGATCATCCTACAATATTGCTGTTACTTTGTACACAATACATTTCACTTTGCAGCAGCCCATGCAAAGCTTTCCAGGTTTTTCTGAGAGCATCCTCATCATCATTTTTTTTTTTTGGTGAGGTAATGGGGGTTAAGTGACTTGCCCAAAGTCACACAGCTAGTGAGTGTTATGTGTCTGAAGCTGGATTTGAACTCAGATCTTCCTGACTCCAGGGCCAGTGTTCTATCCACTGCACCACCTAGCTGGGCCCCATCATTTCTTGTAGTAGGATAGTATTCAATCATAATCATATACCACAACTTGTTCAGCCATTCCCCAATTGATGGGCATCCCCTCAATTTCTAATTCTTTGCCCCCAGAAAAGAGCTGTTATATTTTTTACATATAAATCCTTCTCCTTTTTGTTTTTTATCTCTTTTCAGAGACAGACCTAGTAGTGGAATTGCTAGCTCAAAGGGTATGCATGGTTTTATAGCCCTTTGGGTAGAGTTCCAAATTGCTCTACAGAATGATTGAATCACTTCACAACTCCACTAATAGTGCATTAATGTCTCATTTTTCCCATATCACTGCCAACATTTGTCATTTACCTTTTCTTTCTTATTAGCCAAACTAATAGGTATGAGGTAGTACCTCAGAATTGTTTTAGTTTGCATTTCTCAAATCAATAGTGAATTAGAGTATTTTTTCATATGGCTATAGATAGTTTTGATTACTACACCTGGAAACTGATTATCTTTTAATCACTTATCAGTTGGGGAATGGCTCTTATGTTTATAAATTTGACTCAGTTTTCTATATATTTGAGAAATGAGGCCTTTATCAGAGAAACTTGCTTAAATTTTTTTTCAGTTATTATTGCTAACTGTATTTCCCCTCCATCCTATTTCCTCTGCATTTATTCTATACTTTCTCCTTTCACCCAGTGCCTCCTCAAAACTGTTTTGCTTCTAACTACCTCCTCCCCCAATCTGCCCTCCCTTCTATCATACTCCTCCCCCTTCTCTTATTCTCTTCCCCTCCTAATTTCCTGTAGGGTAAGATGGATTTCTATACCCAATATGTTACTCCCTCTTTGAGCTAATTCTAAGGAGAATAAAGTTCACTCACTCCATCTCACCTCCCCCCTCTTCCCCTCTACTGTAAAAGCTTTTTCTTCCTTCTTTTATGTGAGATAATCTACCCCATTCTACCTCTCCCTTTCTCGTTCTCCCAGTACATTCCTCTCTTACCCTTTAATTTTATTTTTATTTTTATTTATCATCCCTTCATATTCAACTCACACCTGTGCCCTCTGTCTATATATACTCCATCTAAATACCCTAATAATGAGAAAGGTCTTATAAGTTACAAATATCCTCTTCTCATGTAGGAATGTAAACCGATTAACCTTATTAAGTTCCTTATGATTTCCCTTTCCTGTTTACCTTCTTATGCTTCTCTAGAGTCTTGTATTTAAAAGTCAAATTTTCTATTCAGTTCTGGTCTTTTCATTAAGAATACTTGAAAGTCTTCTGTCTCATTGAATTTCCATTTTTTTCCTCTGAGGGATTATACTCAGTTTTGCTGGGTAGGTGATTCCTGGTTGTAATCCTAGCTCCTTTGTCTTCTGGAATATCATATTCCAAGCCTTCTGATCCTTTAATGTAGAAGCTGCTAAATCTTGTGTTACCCTGATTGTGTTTCCACAGTACTTGAATTGTTTCTTTCTAGCTGCTTGCAGTATTTTCTCCTTCATCTGGGAACTCTGGAATTTGCCTATAATATTCCTGGCAGTTTTCCTTTTGGAATCTCTTTCAGGAGGTGATCAGTGGATTCTTTCCATTTCTATTTTAGAAATGGTTCTAGAATATCAGGGCAGTTTTCCTTGATAATTTCTTGAAAGATGATATCTAGGCTCTTTTTTTGATCATGGCTTTCAGGTAGTCCAATAATTTTTAAATTCTCTCTCCTAGATCTATTTTCCATGTAAGTTGTTTTTCCAATGAAATATTTCATTGTTTATTTTTTCATTATTTTGGTTTTGTTTGTTTCTTCATTTTTCATAAAGTCATTAGTTTCCATTTGCTCCATTCTAATTTTTAATTTTCATTTCCTTCAGTGAGCTTTTGGACTTCCTTTTTCATTTGGCCAATTCTGCTTTTTAAGGCATTCTTCTCATTGGCTTTTTGGCCCTTATTTACCATTTGGCCTATTCTGTTTTTGAAGGTGTTATTTTCTTCAGTATTTGTGTGTGTGTGTGTGTGTGTCTCCTTTACCAAGCTGTTGACTTTTGCATGATTTTCTCATCTCTCTTCTCAATTTTTCCTCTACCTCTCTTACTTGATTTTCAAAATTCTTTTTGAGCTCTTCCATAGCCTGAGACCAATTCATATTTTTCTTGAAGGCTTTGGATGTAGGACCTTTGACTTTGTTATGTTCTTCTGAGTGTGTTTTGATCTTCCTTGTCACCATAGTAACTTTCTATAATCAGAGGAATTTTTCCATTGTTTGCTTATTTTTCCAACCTATTACTTGACTTTTAAGTCTTTGTTAAAGTAGGGCTCTGTTTCTAGGGTGGAGGGCACACTCTCCCAAGCTTCAGGGGTTTTGTGCAGCTGTTTACAGAGATACTTCTAGGGACCTGTAAGTTTTCAGTTCTTCCAAAGTGGCAAGATCTAAGGAGAGGTGTTTACTACTCTCCTGTGAGGAGGGTTCCCCTCCATAATGGCTGCAAGCTCTGCTGTGCTAGTGCTCCTCCTCGCCCTGGGACTGCTACCGAGAACTGCAACCAGGATCTGAGATTCTGCCTCAGTGCTAGCAAAAAGACCCCTGTAATCTCTTGTTGACCAGTTGGTCAACCCCATTACCATTTGTGGGCTGAGAACTCTGGGAAGGAGCTGCTGCTGCTATTCAATCACTCCCAAGGCCTGCTCCTGGTTTGCTGGAGCTGGAGCTGTGCTGGTGTGGCCTGTGGACTGCTCTCCACTCTCAGGTGCGACAGACATTTCCTGCTGATCTTCCAAGTTGT